CAGAAAATGTAACAAACAATGAAAAACAATGAACTTACACCCAATAACTCACTGGAATACTGACTTGGTCACAAAAGCCATATCTCTGGCCTAAAGACACCCTTGATTTCCTCTTAGTTTTGCTGCCAGAGCACCAATGGCTCTGATGGGAACATCTGAGAAGCTATTTTAAGCCACAAAACTTCTTCATCATAATCAGTGAAAATGACAGCTGTACAGAAGATAAACAAGCCTGGAGTCCCTCAGATCTGTGTACACACGGCTCCTATAGTCTTTTCCCAAAAAAATGTCTGGGTGTAAGTTTATTTTTTTTTATTTTTATTTTTTTTAAAATATATGTATTGATTTTTTACAGAGAGGAAGGGAGAGAGAGAGAGAGTTAGAAACATCGATGAGAGAGAAACATCGATCAGCTGCCTCCTGCACATCCCCCACCGGGGATGTGCCCGCAACCCAGGTACATGCCCTTGACCGGAATCGAACCTGGGACCTTTCAGTCCGCAGGCTGACGATCTATCCACTGAGCCAAACCGGTTTCGGCTGGGTGTAAGTTTAGATGAAGACCATTCCATCTAATGGGCTGCAGTCGGGTCCAACAAGAATTAGGTCAATGTTTCTGCAGTGAAGGGGTCCCCTCAAGGTGATGGTCTTGCAAGCAGTGCCCATCACCCATGGAATTGAAGGAATTAAAGCACATGGCCCTCTGCAACACCTGGGGAAAAGAATCCCTACAGCCAAGACCGGTGTGGCTCAGTGGATAGAGCGTTGGCCTGCAGACTGAAAGGTTCCAGGTTCGATTCCGGTCAGGAGCATGTACCTGGGTTGCGGGCACATCCCCAGTGGGGGATGTCAGGAGGCAGCGGATCGATGTTTCTCTCTCATCGATGCTTCTGACTCTATCTCTCTCCCTACCTCTCTGTAGGAAATCAGCTAAATATATTAAAAAAAAAACAAAAACAAAAACAAACAGAATCCCTTCGCTAGGGGACTGTCTAGGGCGGGGGGAAAAATGGACACATATGTAATACCCTTTGTAATAAAAAATAAAATTAAAAAAAAAAAAAGAATCCCTTCAAATGTCTTATCACTCCTTGAAAACAGTAAAAAAATTAACGCTGCTCCCAGATATACTTCAGGTTGTCACAACTACCCCCTCTTGGGAGAGACCTTTGTGTCTCAATGCATCCATTTTCACATGAGGACTAGAGAGTCCACAGTGTTTCCTGGGAAAATATGGGCTGCAATGTAAATTGGGCAAAAACTGCTCAGCTAATTTCTGGTCCATAGTCGTCCCTCAAGGGCAAAAATGTTTCAGAGCCCATATAAGTTTTTCACCAAATCATGCTTGGAGAGCCCCAATCTCCATATAAACTAATTCACACAATAAATGGAACACCCAACATTAAAGAAGTCTACGGAAAAGCCTTCATTATTTTGCAAGTAACAGCTTTGAGACTGGTACTTCTTCCACCTGGCAAGACAGCGCTTTATGTTAAAAAGTCCAACATACATACATATGGTTCCAACATGCAAACAAGCAAAGAGAACAAATAAAATACTTGCGGGTAGGATACACAATGTATGTGATTCAATATATGAGATAAATTTCAGACTAATGAGACTTCACATATTTTCATATACAACTGTTAAGTCCTAACTAAGAAACCACATTTTCAACACATCTGAGAAATTTTTCACATTCGGACTCTTTTGTGCACAGCAAATTTACAAATTAGGCTGGGAGATATCTCACATTAATTACACTCTTTACCACAATCTCCTGTGTAAACTCTCTGATGACAATGAAGGTGAGAGTTAGTTGTAAAAGATTGTCCACATTCACTGCATTTATAAGCATTTTCTCCTGTAGGAACTCTCTGATGACGGTGAAGGTTGGTGCTACTGGTATAAAATTTCCCACAGTCACTGCGTTTATAAGGCTTTTGTCTTGTATGACTTCTATGATGACGGCAATGGACATCGCTTTTCTCCATTGTGAACTCTCTGATGATTTTGGAGAGCACTGTTTTCACTGAAAGTTTTCCCACATTCACTACATTTATAAGGCTTTTCTCCTGTATGAACTCTCTGATGACGACAAAGTTTACTGTTACAGGTAAAAGATTTCCCACAGTCACTGCATTTATAAGGCTTTTCTTCTCTATGAACACTCTGATGATTTTGGAGAGCTTCATTTTCAGTAAAAGTTTGCCCACAGTCACTGCATTTATAAGGCTTCTGTCCTGCATGATTTCTCTGATGACGGCGATGGACATCGCTCCTGGTAAAAGATTTCCCACATTCACTGCATTTAAAAGGCTTTTCTCCAGTGTGAACTCTCTGATGATTTTGGAGAGCTTTGTTTTCACGGAAAGTTTTCCCACATTCACTACATTTATAAGGCTTTTCTCCTGTATGAACTCTCTGATGACGACAAAGTTTACTGTTACAGGTAAAAGATTTCCCACAGTCACTGCATTTATAAGGCTTTTCTTCTCTATGAACACTCTGATGATTTTGGAGAGCTTCATTTTCAGTAAAAGTTT